TGGTGACACGAGCCACCCCTGCCACCGAGGGGACACCGGGGACACCGGCGGCCCGTGGCGGATCCGGTCTCAGCCCCGTTAATTTTTAACTGCGAGTCCTGACACCGGAGCCGCGGCGCTCCGTGGGACGTGAATTATTCACGGAGCAGCAGCCGGAGCCCGGAGAGCCTGGAGGACACCAGGGGACACCAGGGGACACGAGCCACATCACCGTGTCAGGCACCGGGTGACGAGCAGGGTCCTGGCAGGATTCAGTGGCTCCGTTATCTCCGTGATCTCCTCCACTTTTCAGGGATATTTTCCCAGGTGCCGCCCTGGGGGAGCAGGGATGGCGTGAGGAGGGTTCCCTGCTCCTCCAGAGGGACCAGAACCTCCCTTCTGCTGCTTCTGGGAGCCGCCTCAGCTTTGGTAGCACCAGAACTCCAGGCCAGAATTCCTCAGTGGAATACACGGCAGCTCCCAGGGATTGTCCTGTTCCCATCCCGTGTCACACCCAAGGGGACGGGGACAGGGTGTGACACCCAGGGGTGATGGAGCCTCCGTGCCCACACCAAGCCCTCCACGAGGGGTTTGGAGCCTCCTTCCTTCCCTGTGAGGGTGGCGAGGCCCTGGCTGTGGCTGCCACATCCCTGGAAGTGTCCGAGGCCAGGCTGGACAGGGCTGGGATAATCCTGGGATAATCCTGGGATAATCCTGGGGAGATGTCCTTGCCCATGGCAGGATGCACCTCTGGATTTAGACCAAAACTCCAAACCCCCAGCGAGAGCAAATTCAGCCCCGAGAGCTGCAGAATGATCCCGTCCCGATGGATTTATCCCAGAGCAGGAACAGAGCGGGGCATCCCCGTGGCCCAGGGAGATGGAAATCCGGGAAGAGCGGCGTTTGCTCGTGCCCAGAGCAGCCGCGGCTCCTCATTCCCAAAAAACCGGGGCTCGGAGCGATGGGTTTGCACGGAATGTCCCGAGCGTTCGCTGCCAGCCGCTCCGATCCCCTCCGAGCATCCCAGCGCCGCCGGGAGCTCCCAGGGCCGGCACAGCCGGGGTCAGCCCGGCCCGCCGCTCTCCGAACGGGCCGGGACAGCGGGGCCGGGACAGGGACAGGGACAGGGACAGCGGGACCGGGACAGGGACAGCGGGACCGGGACAGGGACAGCGGGGCCGGGACAGCGGGAGAGGGACAGGGACAGCGGGACCGGGACAGCGGGAGAGGGACAGCGGGAGAGGGACAGGGACAGCGGGACCGGGACAGGGACAGCGGGGCCGGGACAGCGGGAGAGGGACAGGGACAGCGGGACCGGGACAGCGGGACAGGGAGAACGGGACCGGGACAGGGACAACGGGACAGGGACAGCGGGGCCGGGACAGGAGTGGGACAGGAGGAGCGGGGCCGGGGGACCGGGAGAGGGACAGCGGGGCCGGGCTCCCGGTTCCGGTCTCTCCCGGTCCCGGTCTCTCCCGGTCCCGGTGTCTCCGGGTTCCGGTCTCTCCCGGTCCCGGTGTCTCCCGGTCCCGGTGTCTCCCGGTTCCGGGCTCTCCGGGTTCCGGTCTCTCCCGGTCCCGGTGTCTCCGGGTTCCGGTCTCTCCCGGTCCCGGTGTCTCCCGGTTCCGGTCTCTCTGGTTCCGGTCTCTCCCGGTTCCGGTCTCTCTGGTTCCGGTCTCTCCGGTCCCGGTCTCTCCCGGTTCCGGCGCTGCCCCCGCCCCACGGGCGGGCCCGGGGCCGTCCCCGCGCAGCCGCCGCTGCTCCGCGGGCCGGGCCGGGAGCGGCCCCGGGATCGGCACCGGCGCAGGAGCGGCAGCGGCCCCGAGCGGCCCCGAGCGGCCCCGAGC